GCCAAACTCTTAATTCGGACCTGTACTGTCAACAATTGGACCGTCTGAAGGAATCAATCGCCCAGAAGCGGCCAGCTTTGGCCAATAGGAGAGGAATTGTGTTCCATCAGGACAACGCCAGGCCACACACATCGATAGTGACTCGCCAGAAACTCCGGGAGCTTGGTTGGGAGGTTCTTATGCATCCACCTTATAGTCCGGACCTGGCACCAAGTAATTATCACCTGTTCCTGTCAATGGCGAATGATTTTGCTGGTAAAAAATTCGCCTCAAGAGAAGCTTGTGAAAATCGACTGTCCCAGTTTTTTGCCAATAGGGACAAGGGTTTCTATGAGAGAGGCATAATGGAATTACCTTCAAAATGGCAACAAATTATCGAACAAAACGGTGCATATTTGACCTAAATCGGATCATTCTAACTATGCTAAATAAAGCCTTCTAAAAGCCTGCTAAATAAATTTTATGCAAAAATAATGGATTTTTTTTTACTACACCTTATATGTTTATAAAAGTATATAAAAGTATGTGAAAGTAAAAACTGAAATAATTAATCATTCACACTTGACGTAAACCTTTTGAAATCATTATTTTTATAAAAAGTATAAAATTTTCTTGTATTTTTCAATAGAGTATTTGCGAGAATACAGTTGATCTGAATAAGGTTGATCTGAATAATTGTTTTAATAATATTTTTTTTAATATCTTATAGTTGAGCTTTTATTGTAATTTATTTATAACAATTTTTTTTGTAAAGAACAATTTAACAGGAGATACTACTATATTTTTTCTATAAACGTTTGGCTTATACGTACGATACGAGCGCTCAGTTGTTTCGAAACGTTGAGTAAGGGCGAAAATATCATCCTCTTCCTCTCTCTCTTTCACTCGCTGTTTTGAAAGATGGTCGCGTCAGCGAGTGAGAGCGAGAAGGAGAGGGTGACATTCTCTCTCTCTCTCACTTGCGCGACTCTTGCTTTATTTTGTACGAGATACTACCGCGTCTCTTAACGCCAATACGTATACACGAACTAAGCACGTGGTCTATGTCTCGCTGCTGCGCCGCTGACCGAGAGAGGCTAAGATGGACATTAGTAGAACGTTTCTTAATTATAAAATTTTGCCATTTCGGACTTTCCACTAAAATATCTCCTCTCATGAACTATGTAGGACAAATATCAAGGTAGATTTATTAAGGAGGTTTATCTGGTTTAGGAATTAACAGAGAGATTTTGATGAAAATTAGTTTACATATAAAATGATATACGCAGAGTAATTGTTTCAAGTTTGGAGTCGATCCTGTACTTATTTGTTGAGATATTGATAAAACAAAATATGGCTTGCATACCATCGATTAACACAAGGTCTTATGGAAAAAAGTATTTTTCGTGTCTTTATATACGAAATAAAAATAGTATTAACAGAGAGATTTTAATGAAATTGCAACCATAGAAAGCGGAAACTTTGATTTAAACATTAGGTATAAAATTATTTCAGTGTAGTATCTCGTTATTTAGTTATAACTAATTATTTTCGTAAAAAGTAATGAAAACGTGCGGTCTAACCTATTATTATGAATATGCGGCAACGTCGCAAGATCGCGCTCAATTAAAACTATTATAACGTTTTCTATATAGCGTCACACACGTTAGTAAATGCACTTGATGTACATAAAAGTAAAAAAAAAACTTTATTATTTCTCTTGAAATATAGAATCGGAGATTAAAAAAAAAATTATTAAAATGTCAAGAATTCGTTAATTATTAAATAATAATAAAATTTGATTGCATAAAATAATTTATTACAAAATAATTACAAACGATTAAATTACAGTTTTGAGAAAACATGCTATTTTTTCAACTACTTTTATATTTTTTGTGACAAGAATATTACCATTGTCATCTTCGCCGAAAAGATTTCGTAAACCAATAAGTTTGTGTTTTTTGTAAACATCTACAATTTTTTCATAAGAAATTTTAGAAGCTATAATTTTTTTTCTCGTCGCGACAGAAGAACACGTACTCAGTAAATGTAACTTATTTAAGGCATCAGGTAGTTCGTCATTGAAAATTTTTTTTTCAACTTCTGTCTTCCATTGTATTTTATTATTAGTTATCTGAGAATAACTTATATGTAGTTTTTCGACTACTTTCTCTAAAATATCAACATCTGCTGTTGCATTATGTGCGTCTTTATTATCAATTTTGAGATAAGTGGCTAGGGTCTCTAATTTGCAATTTTTAACTTCAGATGCAACTAATTTTTTTATGATTGGCAAGGTATCTGAAAATCCTTCAACAACAGCTTCAAAATGACGTGATAAAAAAGTTTTTTCACATGCTTCGATCAGTCGAGGTGCGTCAAATTTGCAATTATGTGCAACTAAAATACATTTTGCTTTCAATCTGCACAAGAATTTGTAGAATTCGTACATAGCCTCGTTAAGAGATACCGAGTCAACAATTTTACCGTGATAAAATAAATTACCCGAATCGAATGTTAGACCTGTCACTTCGCTTGCTTTGTCATCGACCTTTTTGATTGGTGTTACGTAAACTGAAAAATTAGAATCATTCGATTTTGCGGCGATTTGCAAAATTTCTGCAGTTTTCGCAAAGCCACTAGTTTCCAAATCGAAATAAACTAGTACAGGTAACGACAAATCATCTACATTATTATTAATTTTCGGAGTATCAATATTTAACAGAGTCATATTCGATCGGTAAGTATCTGTGCCTTCAACGGATTCTTTTTTATGCCTTAAATTTGTTTTTTTTTTCTTTAATAATATTCGTCTTTTTTTAAATTCTCGTGTGGTTGAAACTCTAAATCTTGCCATTGCCTTTTTATCCTGCGTTACACAATATTTATTAGTGAATTTTCCCGAAGATAAGCACAGTTTTCTTTGAAGTTTAATCAGAAATGATTCACCGTCATTTTTTTTGTTGATTGCACAGGCTACCCGGTAGTCTCCTGATGCTGTCGTACCGTACATGCGTGATTTGGGTGCTTTACTAGCAATAATTGTGTTGAGACTCTCGTTGGCATTGCTGGATGCTCCGGCAACAAATCTATTGCTTTTACTAGCAAGAACATCAAATAAGTTTTGCAAAGCTTGAAATAAAGCTTGATTAGTAAAACCTTCATTTATTATTGTGTGCTTATAATTTACCGGATCTTTCAAATATCCACACCAAGATCCACAATTTGTATGGATATTAAAGCAATGAAATGGGATGTTTTTGATGGCTTTTTTCATACTTTCTTCACTTCCCACATTTTGTGAAATACAATAACAAAAACATCTTTGTAAGTATTTGATAGTGTCTGCTGATAATTCTTTGAAATTTCTTTTTAGCTTGTACAATTCATTCGTCACTCCTTTAGCCGTATGATTTTTATCAGCATGTTTTATTATTTCGTGATTACAGGCTGCTCGCATCGCTGAAATTGAACAGCTGTCGTTATCGCTAATTACTATTCCTAATTCTATTCTGTGCTTCAGGAAAATTGGATTATCCGCAGCTAATTCAGCAGCAGCTTTCGGTTCCATCGCCTTTGCCGTACCCTCAAAATTTTTCCGACAATCGTGACTCGCTGGATCGTGGCCACGCTCACACATACGGCATTTCCTATTTTTAGTAACGTAGGCTATAACTTTTTTACTGAAGTAACCAATGAGTGCAGCAGAACCAGTCAAACTATCGTATGTTCGACCAGTTCCTCTCGTAGTCCAACCCATGTCAAAAGATGCAGCGATGCGAACAATATTTTCTAGCTTAACTTGATCACCAACATTCTTCAAATCGGGAAGTAGAAAATTACTTCTTAAATTTTCGGGCCTACAAATTTTATTATTTTATTACCATTAATTACACAGTTTAAATCAATGCATAAGAATGTATAAAACTTAATTATTTAATAAATGGATACAATAATCAGTATAATAGTAAATACGTATTTTAATTGTAATTAAAACTAATACGTTTCTGATAAATATTTTCTTAAAATTACTTATTTTAGTTATTTGATACAAAAAAAAAAGATACAAAACGTGTATATAAAAATAAAAATAAAAGAATTTTCATGTGAAAACTTATGAAAAGTTGTAAAATTTTACGATGATTATTTATTGTGACAAAGGGCATTGTTAATTATTATTCGGTAGAATATTTAAAAATATAACAATAAAAAATCATATAAATCTAAATTAAATTAGTCTATGAATATTTACAATTGTATATGAAAAAATATCTGTAATTTGACAATGATTCGATATCACTAGTCTTAAAAATTATACAATAAATTATTTCAATATGTAAAAAATGAAATTGTTATATTTGATTAAAAAATTACTTTTAACGTTATTATAAAGTTATACGCATGATCCCACGTACTATGATGAAACTTTAAATATTATAAAAAAAATTTTTTGGTAAATAATTATAGTGAAAAATTTGTAGATGCACGATTATTTGATGATAATTATAAATCTCTAGTTACACAGAGAGAGAGAGATTACTCAATATTATATATTAAATTGTAAAATTATTTATAAAAAAAAACATTTTTACTCTCAAATTTTACAATTTTTAGCATCAACGCCTACGTATAGATGATACGTATAGCGCTTTCTACTAAAACACTTACAACAACAGTTTCAATTCATCTGCTTTCTCTATTGTCAAATTTCTTTCTAATATCGCAGCTTCTTTGCAACTTTCTGTGGCTAATTCTTCCATTGCACGTCCAACCTCTTTCTCATGCACTTTGTACACATTTGGATGAAGCAGAGGAACATCCAAGGCTGCCAAGATTTTGTTTAAATGTGTATTGCCAGACCCAGAGTTCAATACTCCTATAAAATAAAAAAAATATATATAATTTTATATCCCACCAATATAATTATATTTGACACTAAATACTGAATTTCAATTTATAAAGATGTCCCTTATTACCTATCACAGCTCTTGTATTTACATCAAAATGATTTGATTCCTTGTTATTTGTGCTTGAAACGTGATGTTTATCAGATGCAACTCTTGTTTTTTTACTACATTTTCGACACTTGATGGTGAATAATGATGCTAAGCCTTTGCACTCTTCATCTTCTATGTCTAATAAAGACAAAATTGAACCACATGATTGACAAATCAAATTTTTTCCAAGAGAATTCAGATCAACAATTCGGCGTCCCTCTAATGTCTTCTTTTCTCGAACATTTTCACGTGGTTGAAGGTTACCTTCACATCGAGTGCGAACTTTTTGCAAGTTTTTTCCAACTTCCTTCAATCGTATACGGTTTTTATAAACTTTTTCTGTCACAAGCTTATTTTTCCAATAAAATCTTTTTCTTTTAACCTCATTTTCAGTTGACATTTTGTTATTGTTGACAGCACGAGGTAACGTACGCGATTTAGTAGAGCGAGCAGAAGCTCTCGCTTGTATTCAACAGCGTTGCCGCATATACATCTACTACGCTAGTCAAATTGTTTAGCATACCTTTGACTAACACGGTAGCAGATAAACCTCCTTAAGCAAATCTATCCCAAGGAATCGATAGAGCCTATCTAGAAATTCATCCGATTAGCCGTTATAGTCGAACGAGAAATCTTGTCTGCGCTGAACTAGGCGTGTTATTCGCGGCCGCTCTCACGCCGTTCCTCGCTTTGCGCATTCATTTGACGCTACCGCGTCTCTTGATACACACTTTTTCTCAAACTTTTGTGAGAAATTCTCACTCTTTAGCTTAAGTACGATAGATGTGGCCCCTTCCCCTCCCTCGCCGCTGAGCGGCGGTCTGGGGGGCGTAGTCGGCTAGAGACAAACATCTTTTTTATTAATATCTCGGAAACTATAAGCGACCGCCATATAGCCGTGTTTATATTATTTAAAAAAAGTGTGTATTTATAAAACTTCAAATATAATACGACACACGCACACACCGCGAGTTCGCCCGGGCGGACGGGCGAGCGCGATATGCGGGCGAGTAGTATGTGTGTGTGATTGTGTGTATGTGTGTGTGTGTATGTGTGTGTGAGAGGCATAATGGAATTACCTTCAAAATGGCAACAAATTATCGAACAAAACGGTGCATATTTGACCTAAATCGGATCATTCTAACTATGCTAAATAAGCCTTCTAAAAGCCTGCTAAATAAATTTCATGCAAAAATAATGGATTTTTTTTTACTACACCTTATATGTTTATAAAAGTATATAAAAGTATGTGAAAGTAAAAACTGAATTACCTTACTGTGTTACCTTTTTTATTAATATTTCTGAAACTATAGAAGATGCGCAAATATTTCCGTATTTCCATATACACCGTGTGCAAAAATTACGTTCAACTTCTAAAACTTTTTTGGTTAATAACTTTTTAACAAACAATGAACGCCGATAAAGGTCAATAGCATTAACCTCCTTGAGGGTCAAAGTCAACATCTAGGTTACTTTGAAATCATTTAAAGCTGGCTGTGTAAAGGTAAACATTTACTATATATATATATATATTTTTTTTTTCTTTCCTTTTTCTTTGTTTCTCTCCGTAGCTCCTTTTTCGGAAGATGTTGGTATTCAGAATATAAAGTGGTTGGCCTTTTTCTTTTATCCATTCCTCAACCTTTTCTCCTTTTCAGTCAGCATGAAACGAGGCAATCGTAGGGATAATCGTCGGATTTTGACGCACGCGGGACTCGGAATGGAGCCGCTGTTACTACGTGCTCTTAGCTTCTAATAGTAGAGTGCACCCATTTATCCTTGGCGCGACCTCGCGCCGTCTACCATAATGCATGACCGCGGTTACTTTATGTAACGCGTATAAATCCGACGGAATTGCGAGCACTTTCGCGCAAGAGACGGCGATCTTCGTAAAGAGCTTCCATTTCCGCCGATTTCCAACTTCATTCCCCAACTACAATTTCTGCTCCGGCCGTTGATCGCCGTGCGATCAATCGCGCGTATGCTGTGTCACTGTTATTTTGCGTCGCATTGTATTATAGATATGGATAAATAGATACGTGCATTTGTATAATTTAATACGGAAGGTCACGCTATCGTTTGCATAGGAGATGAGAGTTTATAAATATGCGCGTTAAACGAGGATGATCGTCGCGTTAATCTTATTGCTGATGTCAACTTGTCCTTATAAAATCAATTCACAATATGATAATTAGCTGCGATATGATAATGTGTCCAAGTTATAATTTATAGGAAATACAATTTTTGTTTATAATTAGGTGAAGTTACTCAAAATACTTCTAAATAAATATATTTAAAAGATTATTTGGCACAATTTGAAATTAATTAAGATAACAATGATATAATCAGTATTTCTTATTAAAAGAAATTGCACATTATAAATGTGGAATAATCTTGTTCCTGAAATATATTATGGACATTGATGTTCTAAGTAACATATATTTTGAATTATATGAGAATCGCTTTTGATTCATGAAATATGTCATAAACTTATTTTAATTTTTTCATACATGTAAACTTATTTTAATTTTTTCATACATGTAAACTTATTTTAATTTTTTCATACATGTAAACTTATTTTCATTTTTTCATACAGATTTCTCCGAAAAGACGAGTATCTGTTTCTTACACTTTCTCGTGAGGTTTCTTTTTTTTAGACTTTACCCAAGTTCCAGAATGGTGTAAAATGACATATTAATGACGTCTTTAACATGAATTGACGTCATTAATATTTGATGTCATCATATGAGTTATGTATGTAAAAGTTTTTGTTTATCTTTGTGTAATATCAATTTTTAGTATATGATAGATTCATTAATTTCAAAGAGCGAAGGATTTCAGTAATTACTGTGAATAGTACATTTAATAATTTAAGTTTATGTGCACGTTTAGTACATTTAATACAGCCCACACAACATTATGACGTTTTAAAGTCGTCTAAAAAAAAGATGTGTTAAAATATTAAAAATGTCCTAAAAAGTTATTGGAAAGACGTCTTTATGACGTCTTATTTAAAATTACTTTAAGATCTTTATACTGCATGATTCATACCGCTCATGCCAGCTATTTTTTCTAAGAAGTTAGGCAAAAAATTTTCATTACGGATGGACACCTAAAATAATTATTAGTAATAGTATCAATTTTCTGGATAAACCGGAAGTAGATGTAACGTAATAAAAATTATCTATTTTCTTCTCATAAAATTCTGACAATTTTTTAGAATTTTTTAAAAACTTTTTAGTACTTCAAGAAAATGCAAAAAAAATGCAGTAGTAAAAAGTTAATTAAAAAATTCTGAAAGAATTTTTAGAGCTTTATGCACGCAAAAAAAGATTCGGCTGGCGTTACCGAATTTCAATTACGACAAAACGAAATTTTCGGTTCCTCAGGAATCAACTGAAAAATTGGTTGCTAAAAAAAAGAAATTTTGTTGTGCCAAACATATATTCGATCATCCCAATCGAATTGAAATGTTGTGAAGGATACAAGTTTCGTTTATCCCAACCTATCCCATACAGCACAATAATGTTGAATCAATGTTGGAAGAATGTTAAATTGCAACAATGTTAATATTGCAGCAACATTGAATCAACGTTGCACAAACCTTGATATAATGTAAACATGTCCGCGATTGTTGATTTTTCTTTTACATTTCAACGTCTTATTTATTCTTACTGTTTCATAAAAAAAAACTAATTCCTAATTTCCTCATGTCTTATAACCGCTAGAAATCGATTATCAAACACACTCTAAAACTTCCGCGAACCCTCCCTCGTTAATTTCGAATCCGAAGCGGTATGCCTATCTATGATGACTACGTTGCTTAATCTGACGATTAAGCGGCACGTGGTGATTCCAATGACTCCAATGATGTTCTTACAATTTATGCTTATAAAATGTATACTTACAGTATTCATAGTATATTATAACGTACTTAGCAAAAATACGCGTTAATTCTCTTATTTATTTTACTTAATCTCTCTAAAGTTTATGTAGTTATTTGCAAAATGATTTCAACCATTCCTTCCAGTTTAATGTTTTTTAATGCATTTTTTGTTATCGATACAGTTTGCGTCAGATTCTATATAATAGAGAATATTATGAAATAAAAGAATATTCAGGGTTTGCGAAAAATTGCTTCAACATATTTCAATTTTACATATAAATAATAAGAAAAATATATATGATCAAACGCCGCGGTCGCGGCGCGACGCCGAGTATGTATCGATCGAACAAAAGAACGCGACCGTGTAAGCTTATTTGGAATTTCTGAGTCGATTGGTCTCTTCCGAGTCAAATATCTCAAGCACGAAAACTATAATCAAAATTCTAATGAAAGTTTCTTTATATAATATTTAGCGCGCGCGTAATTTGCACCAAATTTGATTAAAATTGGTGCAGGCAATACGGAGATCTCGAAATCTCGCCCGCTAAAAAGCCTTTTTATTTTCGCGCAGATTCTCATTTTTTTCAGATACACGTATGCGCACACAAGCGAATCAATTTGTCCATCAAGCCGTATTTGTATCGCCAAGCGATTTAGCTTCAGATGTAGACCCCTTTATTATTAGACCGCCTCCATATCTATTATCTTCAGAAGCAAGAAAAAGTCTTTTCAAGAAAAACTTGCTTCAATTTGAAACTTGTATTAATTGTTTCTTTACATTAAACCTACATAACACGAACCAGCTAAAAATCGGCTCTTATATGCCTACTGTTTATATTTAGAATTAAATTGATTTTTATAAGAGTCTTATAACATTATTAGTTCTTTCTTATTTTTTTTAATTTGTAAGAAAATAACGATATTTTACAATTTTTATCATAAGATTTATGAAAAGAATTCATTCCACCTAGTACAGTATGTCAAATTAGCACGGGAACCCAATAAGTGTAATAAGCTTTAAGTCATAAGAAATTGGCAAATCTCATTCGATTATTCTTGTAAAAGTCGACTAGGATTGTTTAATTTCTTAATGCTTAAAGCTTACTACACCTATTGTATTCCCGGTCTTAAGCGATTTAAAAGAAATGCATAGGTAACTTTGAGTGCTTAGACTTTGAAGCGTTTGCAGCGTGCAATGGATCGCATCCTTAGATATGTCAAAACTCTGCGAAAAAAATCTGCCTCTTTTTAAAATTGCAAAGAAAAGTCTATACTTTATGGTTATATACTGATATGTCTATACTGATGGTTACCATAAAACTTACGAAGAAAAAAATTTATTCTATTCCGTAGGATATGTCAAATTGTGAAATGTTTTTGTCCATTACCATTGACATCAGAATATGCGGCAATATTACTGAAATGTTTATAGTATCAAATGATTTTTTTCATATGCCGGCAAAATTCATTCTTTGTAAAGATCTTAATATCTCAATATTTTATGCGGACGCATCTTAATGACCTTACGACGAAATATGTCTATCATTTCTGATGTATTTTTTTCAAAAATATAACGCGGTAACCAAATTTGGATTAAGGATTTGTGCTCAACGGGCAAAAATACACATTCGTACAAGAAAAAAGTTAAATTTTATTGTTCGGTGTCAATTGATCATGCATTTCTGCTAAGGAGAAAGAGGAAAGCGTGATATATGGATATTAGAGCGAGTGAGATACCTATAGTGACAGCGCAGTGTCCCTATTGCTGTCTCGCTCATATTCTCTGCATTCAAGTGTTGAATGAGTGAGACAGCTATTGAGGACACCACTAACAACTGGTAACGTCTACTGATGTTTTCTCTCTCGATCGGACGACGTGCGATAAGGATGCAACATCGGAATGTCTCCCACCACTTTCCCTACGTTCCTTCTTCGCTTTTCTCGCGTTGTATGTAAGACGTACAGTACGCCTTCCGTATATGCCTGTTGTCGCTTTCGACTGTTTGACAGCCGTATACGGACCCGCCGAGAGACACCATACGTATAGAGTTTCAGTATTGGTAGTAAATATTGGAACGTAACCTGTGAGTTCACATTAGAGGAAAAGATACATCACTACACGAAGGAAATTTTATAGTAAAATGCACTACAAAATTGTCTATGCACGCTGAAAAAAGTGTAAATTCAATCACATCAGTGTGATTGGAATACACTTTGTTGATTCAATAGCAATAGCTTATTAAAACCAATAAGCTAATAATTAAATAGCATAACTTATTGATTTTCATAATAGTGCTATTGAATTAATAAAATATTTCCAACCACATTAATGTGATTGAATTTACATTTTTTTGTACCTTCGGAAATAAATTCTCTACATAGAGGAAAGTAGCCAAAAGCGACATAGGCCTCCTAAAGCGACACACCTCTATATCTCATATATAAAATGTTGTATTTTATCGAAACTATTATAAACGTAATACGTTTTACCAGTAAAGTCATGAAAAGGTCATACTTGATATATTTATTGTTCTTTTATATGCTAAATTAGCAAATATTGAGATTTAGAAATTCGCAGGATTTATTTCTATGATTTTTATTGGCGAATTACGTAAACTAAACACCGATAATTATTTTTTTGTTCAACTAAGTTCTTCTAGATGCATTTAGCTTTTGTACAAATATTTTTTGAATATTTTAATCTTTATCATTTTTTTACTGTGTAACTTGAAAAATTTTATGAGAATGTGTTTTAAAGTGACATACCTATAGTATGCGATAGCTGTGACTAACATAACCTGATTCTAACCTCACATATGAACTTACTCGGGTGTATATCAGTTGGACACGGGGCAATTGGACACAGTCCAATCACAAGTCGCTGTTCCCTACAAATGTCTCTAATCACACGGTACTGTGATTGGCTGTGTCCAAATGCACCGTGTCCAAGTGCATCGCTCCTAACTTACTCTGCTGCAATAACGTAAATGTAAATCATTTTCAATAATTATTTGTAATTATATATATCAGTGAACACTAGCTAATATAAATATTGCTTTTAAATAAAATAAATATTATTCAACCATTAAACGCATTAACGAACTTTATTTATTATCAAATATTATCATATATGCAA